GACAGCCAGTGATGCTTAGCACGTTTGGGAGCTGTCACAGATTAGGTCAATGTCACTAGCATATTTCAAATCAAGAAGTCGCTCATCTGGAAGCAGCTCCACACCCATAAGTCGTGTCCAGTGAACGCGACTTCCAGGAGTTCGTTTAAGAGAAAAGTTGACAGCGAACAACCTTATCTCACACCGCTGCAGATTTCGAAGGGCGGGGACAGCTAACCATAAGCCCTTACTCTGCCCGAGCTACACGCATACGGCGCTCTGATAATGTTTATGTATTTCTCGGGCACATCCTTAGCGGACAGTCCCAAAGGACACATCGATCCACCGAATCGTACGCATCTTTGACATTGAAGAACACAACAGTGGGTCGCCAGTATATGTGACGGTGCTCCAACAACTGACGCGGAGTGAAGATATAAAAGATGCAGTCTTGACCTCGACGAAACCCGGCTAGTTGCTCACGTATCTGGCTTTCACAAGTGCCACTCAGTCTGTGAAGGATGACAGAAGCAAGCAATTTAGAGGCGATGGAGACCAGACTAATTCATGGATGGTTGCCGCATTCCGGACGTGAGCCTCCCTTTAAAATTGGAATTATAGCAGAACGCTTTAGTCGGTTGGGACAGCTTTCTGCTCCAACAATTTCCCTACTAAGTCGTGTAAATCAGCAACAAGAGCGAAGCCTCCAAATGTAAAGATAGCTGGATAAAGATCATCTGGTCCGGCGGCTTTATTCACCTTCAGCAGTCCGATCGCACGTTCGACTTCTGAGCAAGTAATCGGATCCAAAGGGACGGACCAGGGTGCAGGACGATCACTGACCAGTGAGAAGTCTAACAACTCCGGTCGATTCAGTTGCCTTTAAGAGTGCTCTGCCCAGCGCTGCAAGCGTTTTGACAGTTTCTGGATAGGCTGTCCACTTTTGTCACAAATAGCTTCACTAACACCCGATCCCCTACTGCCTGTATCCTTTATCAAACAGTATAACCTGCGATAGTTGTCAAGGGCAGCGACCACTTCTGTCTCTTGCGCACGATAAGACCACCAGGCTTCGCGGTCTCTGTTCAGGTTAACACCGAGTTTTGACCTGAGGCCTTTGCAACTCTCATTGCGTTCGCTTCCAGCCGGACTGTGCCGGCGAGCATCGATAAGTTCCAGAGACTGCGAGGCGACCCAATATCCATTATGTCTGTTAGATTGACCACATGAGATCTGGTGAACATGCGACCAGTGACCTTCAACTGTATTCAGTGAGCGCTTACTCAACTCGCAAGTCAGCGTACTTCGATACGCATTCAGAACATTTGGATTCACCAGTTGGCGCGTGTCTATGCGCTCACAGGGTCGTCCTGGATATCCGCCAAAGCGCACTTGTAGATCAGCACATACAAGTGCATGGTTAGTGTCCACACATGCTCCAAATCGAGCGACAGTTTTAGATGCAGTCTCTGCAGCGGTAACTGATCGCAGTGTGATCGATCTGCGTCCATGGCTGGCCTGGGGCTCGTGGGCGCCACTTCACTCGTCTGCGGGTGTTGTGTCAGAAGTTAGTGCTCACACGAAATATGCGAACATCCTTATACAGTTGCAGTAATCGCTTAACGTTATCATCACGGAAGCCTACCTTATGTTGGTCGCCCAGATGCAGCTTTTCTGTGTACAACTTTCCAATTTTAGCGTTTAAATCCCCCGCCAGCCCTACATTGTCTGTTTATCTTCTGTGACGAAGGAGCCCGTTCAATTGACGATAAAAGTGGTCTTTTATGGACTCATCGTTGCCGTTTGTGGGGGCTTAGGCAGTTATGACAAGCGAACAAGCAGACGTACACAAGACAGTGGCTGGGCCGTAGCTCCTTCCACACTGGATGCATGTAACCACTCTTTGAGCCTAGCGCGATCACAAGGACAGTGCACTCCGTCCCCACCAACAACGACTAGCATTTTCCTAGAGCCAGTAATCGAGCTGGAGGGTTAGACAGGTATGCACCTTGTCAACATTCGCATCTATAGCATTTCCCACAGTTGCATAAAAAGTCCAAAATTTTGCAAAACCCTCTGCGATTCGCCAGCCGCTCAACTGTGTTCTCATTGGCCGGGTGCTAGGGTTTGGTGCGTAAATCGTGATGTGAGCGCGCTGCCCGTTGGCTAGCTGAGACAAATGTATGAACCTCGAGTCCATGGACATAGGCGGTTTTACGAGCTACTATGCGCCCCTCCCCCTCACGTCCGAAACGCTGAATCACAATAGGTCTGAGAGTAATGAATTGCTCGACTGAATAGATCTTTCATTCCAGCGTAATCAACATGCCTTCTCGTGTTCGACTGATTATCTCAGACATTCGTGACCGAGTTCTGGATGCCTTCGTTAACGGTGACCACTGGCAGCTCTTGGCAACCACGAAGATTGTGAACTATCAAACTGCCTACTCCTGGATTCGTCGCTCTCTTCATCAGAAGCCGGATACTACGCAGGCGCGCGGTCTTAAGCGCATTTTGCCATAGAGATTGATGACACCCTTGAGTGGATCGCGAAGGACGCAACTTTAACACTACACGAAATGCGAGTCCGAGTACGTGCCGCTATGGATAAGAACATTTCAAAGTCGACAATCGCACGACACCTGGATGGTCGTTTGATGACTATAAAAACACCTATCAGACTCCAGAAGGAATGAACAATGATCAAACCAAAGCGATACGAAAAGAGTTTGTTCAAAAGTTTCTCGAACTTGAAAGGGTGGGGAAGTTCTTTATATGGATTGACGAAACAAACTTCAAACTTTACTGCAAACGTACTCGTGGTCGGGCGCCCAGAGGAGTGAAGGCCTGTCAAAGTAGCCAACAGTAGAGGTCTGAATGTGCATATCATCGGTTCACTCTTAATGGATGGAAACGTTTCGATGACTACCCGCAGAGGCTCATTCACTGGCCCCTACCTCTCGAATGGTTGCGATTTGGATCTATGGTGTTCAGTTGAGGAATCAAATCGTATCAAAAAACTCACCTGTATCCCGTGACGTGTCACCCACCTCGTTGATTGCATTCAGTCCTACACTCACTTTTTCACACCTGTCCTTGACCTTCAGCAGCAATCGTTTCTAATTGACTTATAATGTCCACCCTCTCGCTCAGAAGTCGGACGTGAGATCGGACTGTTGAAGTTGAACAAAGCCGCGGAACCAGATGACCTTCCTCCAGCCCTCTTCAAATTCGGAGGCTCTGCTCTTGCTGATCCTTTACATGATTTACTAGTGAAATTGTAGGAGCAGGAGACTGTCCCAACCGACTGGAGCCGCTCCCTTGTTGTTCCCATCTTCAAAGGAAGCTCGCGTTCGGAATGCGGCAACCATAGAGGAATCAGTCTGATCTCCATAGTCTCCATAGACTGACGGGCGCTCATGGAAGCCAGATTCGTGAGGAGCAAGCTGGGTTTCGTCGGGGTCGTGGCTGCATCAACCACATCTTCATCTTGCGTCAATTGTTGGAGCACCGTCACACATATTGGCGACCCACCGTAGTCGTGTTCCTCGACTCCAAAGGTGCCTTCGATTCGGTTGATCTATGTGCCCTTTGGAATTCTCTACTCAGGAAAGGTGTGCCCGAGAAGTATGTAAATGCTATCCGAGCATTACACGCGCGTAGCATGGGCAGAGTGAGGGCTTACGGCAAGCTGTCGCCACCTTTCAATACCTCCAGCGGTGTGAGACAAGGATGCCCGTTGTCACCTTTCCTCTTCAACTTCGCTATTAACGAAGTCATGGAGATTGCATTTACAGGACATGACTTGGAAGGTGTGGAGCTACTCCCAGGAGAACGAATTCTTGACTTGGAATATGCAGACGACATTGTCGTCATCTGTGACAGCTCCCAGACGTGCCAAGCCGCGCTGGGCAGATTAGCGCTGGCTGTCAGCCGCTTCGGGCTTTGTTTAGCATCATGGAAATGCAAAGCGTTCCTACGAGATTGGCAGGGATCGCCTCCTGCACTGACCCTTGGTGGGGATCAGCTAGAAGTCGTTCCGAAATTCAATTACCTGGGAAGTTGTATCAGCGCCCGTGGGATCGAAGATGAGATCACGAACCGTATAGCGAAAGCTCGAAGTGCTTTTGCTAACCTTCGCCACCTATGGCGGCGGCGCGACATCACTCTCGCCCTGAAGGGTAGAGTGTACAATGCAGCGGTACGTTCGACCTTACTGTACGGTTGCGAAGCCTGGCCCCTAAGATCAGCGAACATAAAGAGGCTAGTTACGTTCGACCATCGTTGCCTTCGCAGTTTGGCTCACATCTGGTGGGAACACCGCGTGAGCAACGAGCGTGTTCGATGCCTTGTTTACGACACAGGAAAAGAAAATGAACCGCTCAGCACCGTCATTTCACGCACCAGGCTCCGATGGCTGGGCCATGTGTTGCGCATGCCAGCCCACCGACTTCCGCGACTTGCGTTGTTTGCTCACCGTGGGTGTGGATGAAAGAAGAGGAGGAATGGCGCAGCGATGACTTGGTCGAAAGGAATGAAGGCCCTCACTTCTGAGCTGGCCTCGGTTAGAGCGTCAAGGCTCCGTGGGGTCCAAAGGACGGTGAGCACGTATGGCTGGATACACTTGTTGACATGGCAATGAGCCGACCTCAGTGATGCTCCTGCTGTGAGTTTCTTTGTCCCTCCCCATCCCTTTTTGCCTCCCCCTCCATCTACGATCTCATTTCGTAGCGTAAAACAATAATTTTTCTTGTTGCCTATTAACCGGATGGTAGCTTACCGGAACGATACCTATCCGTTGCTGATAACTCAGCTGGCATGCAACTGTTGTATTTATTTTCCTTTTCTCTTATGTATTGCGGCACATTTGCTGATGTGTTTCCCACCTCTAGCTGACGTGTATAATGATGATGATTTGCTTCAAGACGTTGACTACTGATTTTAGCCAACAGAGCACAAGATCAGTTCAACCGAAGTTGCATAAAATAGAACGATCCAAGTTACTATCCGTTCTCTTTCAGTCATCAAGCGTTTCCTATGGACCTACCGCCAGTGGTTTTCTTTTCCAACTTTTTCGCAAACTATCACCCACCATTATTAGCCGTAACTTGTGCCCACGTTTTCCTAATTTTTACTACTCTAAGAAGTGCGCTTTACTTGAAGCACTCGATTACTCCCTGTCATTGGGTATGATTTGTTCCTTTTTTCCAATAGTACCGCAAAGATGTCTGAAAAGAAGCCTCGCAAGCCTGAAACTAGATCCTTCAAAGATCACCTTCGGCGCCGAAAGATTGTTTCCGAGGCAGCGAAAAAAATTAAACGTAGGCGAGTGTATTTACGTCTGAAACAAAAGATGTTGAAGCGGGCAGAGACCTATTTACAGGTCCGTTGTTGTACAGTGAATGATTTCTCTGCTAGGAATATCGCAAGTCACATCGAAGAGAGATCAACTTGATTCGCAGCGCTAAGAAAGCCGGGAATTTTTACGTGCCAGCTGAACCGAAACTGGCTTTCGTACTTCGCATTCGGGGAATAAATGGAATACACCCTCAACCCCGCAAAATATTGCAATTGTTCAGGTTGCGACAGATCAACAACGGAATGTTTGTTCGTCTGAACAAGGTAATTTAACCGCTTTCTCATACTTATTTCTAGGCTACTCTCAACATGCTTCGAATCATCGACCCGTACATCGCGTGGGGTTATCCTACTTTAAAAACCATCCGTCAGCTTCTTTATAAACGCGGTTTTTGCAAATATCACGGGACCCGTCAGCCGATTACAAATGAGCTCATTCAGCGAAAACTCGGTCATCTGGACATGATCTGCATGGAAGATCTCGTGCATGAAATATACACGGTCGGTTCTAACTTCAAATCTGCGGCAGCATTCCTGTGGCCTTTCAAGCTGAGGAATCCCACTGGTGGATTTCGTAAAAAAGGACGACATTTTGTCGAGAGTGGTGATTTTGGAAATAGAGAGCAGTACATTAACCAACTACTCAGGCGGATGATTTGACGTTTTCAATATAGTTGAGCTACTGGTGATCACTTCTGATATTCTTGGTCGTTTATGCACTCCTGTCCTCATAGAGTTATCAATATGTGATGCGTCATTTACTAGGACAACCTGATCATTTACATCGTTAGTATCGTTCGACTGTTTTTTTAGCTTAAATGTCTCAGTCTTCTCTGGCATCGCGATTTCTCATGTGGTGCTTTTTCATGTCGAATACTTGGAATCTATCGTTGACCACTACACTTTTTCCCGATTGATTGCCCCCATAGTGCAATTGAATTGCATCCGGTATCAGTTCTACGCACCAAGCGCGCAGTGACCTTGGTATTGAACTAGCCCAAAGCAGCCAATGACGGTAAAATAATTAACCCTTATATGAATATATGGGTTCGTGGTGTGTGGTATTGACGCGTGGGCGGCCTAGTCTGCATTCAGCATTGGTGCCTACTCTGAAGCTAGTTCTACGCGGCTTAGGAACACAACAAAGTCCAAACACGTGATGCGACTGGGTATAAGCGGACTACCATGCACGTGAAGGTATGCCTTGCGAACGGCCCCAGTGGGGACAACGCTGCGAACACGGTAACGCGATACCCCATTAGCGATCTTATGGCTAATCTTGTGCTGGCGCAGCCCATATTTTTGGACGACCTGCCAACGCTAGGGCATTCGACGATACTGTGTCCGGATAAGGAGACAGTCCGTGCATGGCAGCGAAGGATCAGTGGCGCTATGACGGGTGTGCGAGCGGCGGTTTTCTGAGAGGGCTAGCGCCGAAATACGACTGTGGCAATTTTGTTACAATGCGAGTAGACCATGCTTTGTTACAGCAGGCGTCGCTTACCGTCATAGTGGTTGCAGTAGACCGACTTGCTGGTCCCTGAAACAAATGAGATACTGTGACCGGACTGTCGGCAGTTTGCATCGGCTGATCTGTACACATACGCGTGGGTGGACTGGTGCAAACCCAAGGTAAGAGCAACTGACACGCATCAACTGAATTCGTATCCCGTACGCAGTTGTGTGGTATGTTCACACATGGGAATCACTGCATCGTTGCTTGGTATTTCTATCTGGTCATTTCACCGGCTGTTCTCTAGCAGACGTACTTGGCCGACACAGCATATTGGCGGGCAACACTTCAATTCCTACCTACAGTAGTTGTACCTGCAAATCCCATAATTCCGCGAGGTCGATAACACTCAATTCGCTATCTAACGGCCTGTGAACACGTAGTCCACAAACACACATGGCAGTACAATGGCATATAACGGGTCAACTCGATAAGACCTCACATGTCTCGTAGAATGATTGTAATGAAGAGAGGAAAGTTAAGTGATGAACGTACTAACGAAATGGACTGCGCCTCGGTGATTCAGCAGAGACATTTGCATGATAACTGATATAAATCCATTTAGTTGCACCTAATCCATCGCCATGATTTACATCTTCGGCACGAAGCGGGAAATTTGAGAACATAATTTTATACAGGAAATCCCCTTGCTAATTCTAAAAGAGAACATCAGAAGATGTAGGTTCCGGGATGACACTGTTAGGACGACCTACCAGCGCTCCGGCAGGTTCGGTGTGTCCGGATATCAAGACAGTCACAGGTGTATGACTACGAATGATCGGGGTCTGGGGTGCGAAATATTATGGCTTGCTTGTGAGTAAAGCGACAAAAGTGGCCTGCGCAACTTGCCACCGAAGTCTAGATTGACAGGTGGCCAAATGGGTAAGAGAGAAACATCATGGGCGGCACTGTGCTGAGAGGGCTAATGCCGTGATACGACTGCGACACTCTTGTTCTTAGGCGTGTACGTAGCGAAAGATCTGTGCACCATAAGCCAAACGCAGTATCCTATACCATCCATCCCAAAGTTAATGTGAGGCACTGCAGTTGCCATCAGGTGCTTGCACTGGAGGGATAATTGTGATGCCTTGGTGGTTAATGTGTAGGCGATCGCGATGACGACCACTTTGGTCGCTTGAGTGGTTCGTGTTCTCTTGAACGCTGCACCACTAGCAATTGGCGGACGACTCATGATGCCCCGTATACATTAGCACAACTTAAGCGCTGAATCGACCGCATAGCCCTCTAAAATGCAACAATGGTGTATTACGGTTAAAAAAACAATGCTTAACATGCCTCGTGGGTTGGCAATTATTGCGAAAATTAAATTGCATGATGGAATAAAAAGCGTTTTGGTGGACTCACCGTGGACGTATGTAGGATAGCGGAGATGTCCGAGTATTAAAAGTATAAATCCATCGGTTGGGAGTTTGGTAAAACACCATTTGATTATGTTTTGTAGCCACTGGCTAACAAGCCATAAAATGAAATTCAAATGGGAGAACCCATCGTCAACTCGTTTTTTGACTATCGTCAGATTGGGAGCAGAGACGAGATAATTAGGGAGGATGTTCCAAAGCTGGCACACGCGGAGGGAAGGGAGATTTGTACAGTGTTCAGGCTGGCTATACTGTATTTTAAGTTTCAGAGGATGACGTCTTAGTTTATTTTAGTGGTACAATAGCAGCAGCGCACGGCAACTGTGGTTTGGCTTCTTCAGAATGTGGTAAACCATTATGGGATCCTCGCAAACACCGATATCGATTGCTGTACATTCTTAGAGATGTCCGTCTAAGTTGATAGGGCAGATGAAAGAGGCCCATGAAGTTTTTCATTGCCCATCGTTGAGGAGAATCGAGAGCAAGGTGATCCTGTCTCTGGCACCCCTGGATAGCATTATTCTACGTGCGGTCGCATGTAGGCGTTGGGCATTTGGAGAAAGATTGAGGGTTCAAAACGACCGAAGGCTCTGCGAAGCAGGCCGAAGTGTTGATCGCTGGTTCTCGTCGCCTTCTCTGCTTGTTTTGAACACCCGAGCTCTTTCTGGACCAGTACACCCAGGTCACGCTCCTGCAAGGTGTGGCCTCCAAGCTTGTAAGCGCTCACCGGCTGGTGACGCAGATGGATCACCTTGCACTTAGCTATGTTCAATTGAAGCAGGTTCCTTTTTGACCACTCATAAAAGCAATCTAGGTCATGTTAGAGTAGATCGTGATCTTCATTGTTACTAATCGCCCGCCATATCCTCACAATAAGCGGCAAACATCGATCTCGCTTCCTGAGATGGGTCAATGGCTTACATCCGACGCCTTGTCTTAGCGTATCTCACAGTGCCGGTCCTCACGCGGCGATGTGTAACCAAGGGCACTATGCAACTTAGACATTTATGCAATAATGCTTAACACTAGAAAGGCCGCTCCGCCGTTATACCTAGAACGCCCGGGACCGGTCAAAATGACCGCACTGCTATATTTTTTTACCCCAACTTTCAGTTATCAATTTTTTCACGGCATTTATTAAAAACTAATGTATAGAACATACTTGGAACAGAAAAATGATTGTATTAAGGTTTAGTTTTTTTCAAAAATTGTAAACAATTCCGTATGCCTACTCCAATTTGCACTTGAAGCAAGTGATAACTCGCTCAATCTGTCCACATGAGCCGCAAACTATTTTTTCACAAACAGAGCACTTGTTTTGTGATTTGTTACCTTTACAGTAACCAATCTGACACTGCCGACGTTTAATGTTCACGCGACTTCCCGACTCCGCTGAGTTGTTCGTCGTAATTCCCGTTGTCACGTACCTTGTGTGATGTATACATGTAAGCAGTTCTTCCGAAAGACCCGCCAGATACGACCGGCGAGATATTTTAGTTCCGCAAACACTGTTATAAATTATCCAGGAATTTATGCCAGCCAAATCCAGTACGTTGAAAAAGACTTGGACTGGCCATCGTCGAGATGATGACTTCACAGTGAGTGCTCTTGTCATTTGGTCGAGTACATCCACACCATACTTTGTGGAGTTGTAAAACAACACAGTCTCGGGTTTCTTCTTTCCAGAGTCTTGAACGGAAGAGTTACTATGCAGGGAACTGAAAACCAACACACTCTTATTCCTTCTACACTGGTAGGATGTTAATGTGTGCTTATTTTCATTCCTCATCATAAGTGAACTGAACAGCTCTCTATTTCTTTGCTTCAACATCGATGGTACTTCCTTTCTATTAGCTCGAAGTGTTCCCACCATACTTGTGTTTTTCTTGGCCAGCATTTCTCCTAATGCTGCCGATGTAAAGAAGTTGTCACATGTGACATTGTACCCCTTTCCAAATAATGGTGACACCAAGCGCAATACCACGCTCTCTGCAAGACTTTCTCCTCTTGACCGAGTTTCGTCCTTCCCGAGATATGGAAATCCATTAACGAGATACTTGCTGTCTACTCTTGCCAGCATCCAAAACTTGATACCGAACTTATCTGGTTTGTTGGGCATGTACTGGAGAAAACGACAACGGGTTTTGGAGGGAAGCAATTGCTCATCAACTGTGAGATTCTGCGCAGGCACATAGCATTGTTGAGATTTGCGAATGAATGCATTCCACAATTCAGATACCAAAGCAAACTTATCAGTTAGCAGTCTTTCACATCGGGTAGTTCGCATGTCAAAACGGAGGAACCTCATTATTTCTTTGAAGCTGTTCTTGCCAGTTGTCTCCCTGAAAATAGGCAGTCCATATCTATCGCACCACATCACATTCAACGGCATGTTCTTCAGACCCATGAAGCCTCTGATGTAAAGTAGACCAATAAAGGCACGCAGCTCTGGTAGACTTACGCTCCACTGACACCTGAAACTCTCGGCCTCAGCTTCAGTACATACTTGAATATGTTTCAGCATCTGGGGCGTGATTATGATGTCAAAAGTGCTCGACAGCTCACCATATTTCACACATTTCTTAGCATAGGGAGTTGGTCCTGGTCTAGCCTTAAACACATTCTGTGATGGAATCCTACCAACAGTAGATGTTTCGAACTCCACTGCGATCCACGTGCTACCATCTTTCGATACGTGAAACTCACCGGGAGATACCGAATCGGTTGATACACTCTCTCTAGGGTCCTCATATGGAGTGTAATCATCA